GAGAGAGAGAGAGAGAGAGAGAGAGAGAGAGAGAGAGAGAGAGAGAGAGGAAACCACATCCAGTCTGTGCTGGCCCCAAGCTGAAAAGCCATGGTGAAGGGTGACTACCCCACCCAGTAAATCAAGATGTGGGATTCAAGCCACTTCCTCCCTCAGCTTCAGGTCAAGAGCATCACGTATCTGCCCTTGGGGAGTGCATGAAACCTCACAGGGGCGGAGTCAGGACACAAGGGCGGAAACCCACTCAGATGACATGTCATACCTCCATGGGCACAGCTAAGTAGAGACAGGGCCAGGGTGAAGTTACGGATCTGTTTACCTCATGGAACAGGCTCACTGGACTCCACCCTCTGAGGTTCCAAGAACACAGAGGTCTATAGGCCACAGTCCTTGAACGAAACCAAAGTAATAGTCTAGAATGGACTGTTTCCTGTGTTTTCCTCTGAGCTTCTGGAATAATCTGCACCCATTTCCTAGGCCTGAGGTTCTGTACTCTATCTACCTGTGGGGACCGTTCATGGAGTCAGACACTCTACCCACAGGGGCAAAGGGTGTATTAAGAGGTTCAGACTTGAACTGGTGGTGGGTGGGAGGGGGGGCGGGGGGAGGGGGGAGCGCGGGGATGTTTCAGCTTGTAAACATAGTTTACCCTGACATAAGCCCGATGACTTAACTGCTGTCCTGGAACCCACGTAAAAGGTAGAAGGAGAAAATCAATTTCACAAAGTTGGCTCTGACCTACACACACACACACACATTGTAGCATGTGCACACACAAATAACAACAACAACCACATTAATGACAGTGATCATTTTTAAAGGGGTCCAGGCCTCCACTTCAGAGCATACATCACAAAACTCTTTGTTTGGTGGCCAGTAGATCTCTTCGTACAGAAGTTTCTCCCAGCTGCTGACGGTCATTCCTCTCCGGCCCCCTTTTCACCCATTCTCCCTGGTGGGGAGGAGCCTAAGAGACTTCGCTTCAGGTGCTGAAGCCACTAAGGCCCCTTCCACCTGACTCCCCTCCCCTTGGGGAACTGATGATGTCTCATGTCCCTCCGATGCGCTAGCCCTGCCTGTCTGTGGTGCAGGAGTCCCAGATTCTCATTCTCTTACTACAGACATCAGGAAGCTAATGACCCTCTAAACTGAAGCCACCTTGCAGCACTTCCCAGTCTCAGCTGTGACCTTGATGTCTGTGAGGGCTGAGGAACAGGGGCCAGTCATTCCTTTCCTTCTGATCCCATCTGTTAGGTGGGCGGGGCTCGTCAGGGGAGATCTAACTCCCTTCCCACATTTGGCTTTGTGTCTGTCCCCAAGCACACCCCAGGCAAAGACTGGGAACACCAACATCGACATCCTAGCAGTCATGAACAGAACCGGAGTATCCTAGCTCTGGAACCAGTGTGCTCTCTTTGCCCTGGAAACACGGAGGTGACCCCACAGCCTGAGATGAAGAAGTGCATTCCCCATATCTGAGCTATCCACGATGGAGGGAGGAGTCTCTACTTGATAGGTTTCTAGGAAGAAAGAGAGCTTGTGTGGCAGGAAGCAGCCCAGAAAAAAAAAAAAAAAAAAAAAAAAAAAAAAAAAAAAAAAGGAAACTGAGTTGAGGAGAAAAGACCAGAATCCAAATCCACACCCACCCTTCCTCCCCCACCCCAAGCCACTAACATCAGCTTGCTGCTCAGCTCCCAGGACCTCCATGTCTTCCACTGGCACTCAGAGAAT